CATACATACATACATACATACATACATACATACATACATACATACAGACATACATACATACATACATACAAACATACATACAATTATAAATACACACACTTATACAAACCTACACAAATGCATACATTCATACTTACATACTCACGCACGCACATATTTAAATTTAGAATTTAGGGTGGAAACATAAACAGGTGCTAACCGTAGTGATTAGGGATGAATTTATTCTTCTTGTGCCGCGTCGCGGACTGTAGAAATGTTAAAAATAAGAGTTAAGTCGCAAATGTTTATGTTCTCTTCTACCAATTCAGCCAACTCGCTGGATGCAACGGCGGTGATAAGTTGGCCATTCTTTTTCAGCTTTTCAGAATTACATGCGGCGGCTTCCAGAACGTAAAAGTCAATGTCCTTCCCTAGTGGTTTACAGATGTTTTCGGGGCAGGAGAGCGGCCCATCGAGTACCCAAACAATGCCGTCACGCGCATGTTTATTCCACTCCACGACTCGGGGCTGCAAATTGACAAAAAGATGTTCAACTGAGCATTTCAATCAGCAGATTTTTCAGTCGATTTTCACATAGACTCATTTTTAACAGGGTCAGGAATAGTTGAACTGCATAGCAAAACTAACAAGAGCTTAGTCTTCCTAGGCCGCTTAAGGTGATTTAAGAAATGAAAGTTGAACTTTCCCACAATGTTATCAATATTTTGCACGGTGCTTTTTAATTTTACTAAACCGTAACCTCCAAAAGGTTTACATGAACAGGCTGGGCCTTAGATTAAGCGTCGTCTGGGTATCTTGGCATACCCAACGGAATTTGAAACATGGTCGTGAGTATCGTGGCGACAGGTTACAACCCCAATACACAGCCACGAATGCCATTGGGTCGCAGAACAGATGTGAATCTGAAGGAAAGTTTATATTTAAAAATTACTGATTCATTAAAAGTATACTTCCTGATTGGAATGGCAAATAAATGCTTGCCTCATCGAAAATCCCACCATAAATGCTAGTTGGGAGAGGTCTCATTTACTTCGACAAGGCTCACAACTCTCCTGTTTCATCCACGCCTTCACTCAAATAATATAACCTAAGTCTTGGTGATTTGCTTAATTTTGCCACCCATTTTAAGGAATCCCACGATATCCCAATTTCAGGTGTAGTTTGATGGCACTATACTGTCTCAAACCTATGAATCAGCTTCTCTTGCACAAATGAAACTGAAGCCGTTCATATATGACATCTTCTCCATCACAGAAATCTGTTTTGGCTGATTACATCATCATTATCATCATCATTCTCCTCATTTGAGTTTAAACTAAAAGAATGAGCCGACACCACCTCTTCTCCATTCAAA